GTATAAGTCAATTCGAGGACTGTATTAGCATCTTAAGACATTATTTAAGACGGTTTTAAAATAAGAACGGACTATGAATACCGTTTCATGTTTCGCGTTTCATAGTTGATAGCCCTTGAATCCTATTGATGATACGCAGAGCAAAAGTAGGCGTGGTTTGACCGAACTACATTAGGCCTATTCTTTTTGGTTAAACTTTTGCAGCAGTTCATCTTTCTTCCTCTTCTTTTCTCTTGGAGGAAAAAGGAAGAAAGATGAACTGATGAAAAAATTCAGTCAAAAAGAACAGGCCTAACGTAATCCTTCCACAGTATAGTGATGTGCCAATGACACATAAATCGTGTATATGTATGTACATAAATCTGTTAAGTCGATAAAACAGACAACTTTAGTATAGACAATTAACTTAAGATCCCTTTAATGATATTCGCAAAGATTTGTGCCGTTCTTTTTCACTTACCGATGAATTCGTTGCGAATACGTATGCGGTCCTTGAGCACCGGCGTCGATATGACCAAACAATTTATGAACGCTAACAGTGCCGTCTGGTAATCCTCGGACGTTGCTTTTTGCAGCTCGTCAACCACGACTCGCAATCGATAACGCTCGCCCTTCCGCTCCTACATTTGAACATACGTAGATCAGTAACAGCTATACCTATACAAATATCGATAAAATGTTCAAAATATTGTATGAGTACACCTTGTATATGTATATCACGAAAATCGCGAGCAGTATACATCTTCGCCGACAGTAGAGAGCTGCGGCGGAAATTTAGGAAGCGTTTATATTGGCCGTAATCATATGCCATAATCTGTAGAGAAGAATTGATTAATCACGAGTATTTCCCTCTCATTTCTCTGAAAGAAGGGAATACTTGAAGGTGATTGGTCAATTTTTACAAATTATGGCATACGGTTACGACCAATATAAACTCTCCCTTATTATTCGTTAACAAGAATCATCTGGCAGAGAATATGAGAAGTGCAGTATTTCGCCTGTAAAGTAAGCTCCAAAATTAGGCTCCAAGGTGAAAATTGAACTGTTTTTCAAAACAAAATTTTGTTTAAAAATTAATTCAGGGACGACCTAGAATTTCTGGAAAAATTAAAATTTTGCGGAACATATATGGAACATTCTTAGAATATTTAATGATATTTAAATGAAATTTTTAACTGATATTTAGCGTTAACTGAGAATAAACATGGAACAATACAAAGTTTTTATTTATCAAGTTGAATACTATTTTTTTATGATAAAGACGTAATGAGGTTTTGGTAGTGATAAAAATATTTGGAGATTTCATGCAAAAAACGCGAACAGACCTATTGCGGTGTGTTTCGTTCTTTTATTTGTCGAAGGGACCTTGAACCATGACTTTTACCTAAGCGTGACACACGATTACTGTATAATGCGGCAGTTATACAGCTAGCTTCTTCTGAAATGCCGTGCTTTGTGGCAACACTTTTTGCATGACAATTTATCGCGATCACTTTAGCATTCGGTTACATTCTTGTCGTTCAAACGTACAATTTATAAAAGTTATATAATTTTCACCAAATTGGCGAAATATTCGCAGACAATAAGCGCATTCAGCGGACTCAATAGTTGAGTGAACGCTTGCTATTATTGGTGTATTCTTTTAGATCATCCAATCGGAATTTTAGATCTAGAAGAATAGCATCAATAGCAGCGAGCGCTCACTCAACTGTTGAGTCCGCTGAACGCAGTCAATGTACTTTCAAAAACGGTTACCTGATACGTGTGAAGAGTATCAATAGCTCTCTGCCTGCCATCTTGGCTATAAACACACAGCGCTGATAGCAGCTCCACGACTTGCTTCTTCACGGATGGGCACGCTGTCTCCAACGCTGCAATATAATGGTGGAATATAGGATGATCAAGAAAATACTAACGCTATTTGTTCTACCCTTGTTTGTCTAATGAATGATGAAGAATGTCAGTACTGACGAGAAACTATTATAAAGACTGTCGACCTTGGGCAAATTTTCGTGATTATCAATGGAGTCCCGAAGGCCCGGGAATAATTGAAGAACGAAGACATTATCAACAATTAATAAAAATTTACGATTAATATAAATATTTCGATAATTTATTATTAAATTCGTTTTTTATTATATAAATGCTGTATAAATAAGTACGCATACTTTTAATATTATAATTTTTCATATATTGCCGAAAAATTATTATACAATTTTTTCTCTAATTATCATCTCTATTAATAAAAAAAAAATCAAATCGAATGATAACATTAAAATCAATTTTTAATCAAAATCGAGTATTATTAAGTTTTAAACATATTAGGTGTTGGAATTAATTCGTAGCGTTTTTAATGAAAGAATGTTATTTATTTCACATGAGCATTAAAAAATACATTAATGAAAGTACTTCCACCACTTGTAAAACGCTACGAATTAATTCCAACACCTAATATATACATGTCAATGAAACTAATAAATCATGAAATTAATACCGTATTATCAGTTTCTTACTCTTAATCACTTAAATTTTAACAGCGAATTTCTATAAGTGCCGACCGTCTTTAATAGTATCTTGTCGGTGCATATAGTTATAGCGTCTTTCCACGTTTTCCCGATCGCATCTATAAAGGATCAATACGCGGCATGGAATCTGAGATTATGGAATCGTGAATGTTGGATAAATTACCTGAGGCAAGTTTGACGCAATATTCGGGATTATCTACGATGTAGTCGAGACCAACGTGGGAATCCATATTGGCTGTAGATGCTGCGCTTCCAATCTGTAACAATATAAAAAAGGAAGTCTGTCAACTCTTTATTCCACATCTTTATACAAGATCAGAAGAATCGACCTGTTCTACGAAAATAAAATTATTAATATATATTACGAAAGTAACTTCAACAAACCTTTCATCCTTATTCATAGTCCGTTCTTATTTCAAGATCGTCTTAAGTAATGTCTTAAGATGCTAATATGGCCCTCTGAGATTGGTTCGTGACTTTTTAAGACTACATTTAAGGCGTTCTTGAATATAAGATCTGACTATGAATATTAGCCCTTCTAACGACTATGTTCGGAAATTTTTTTTGAAAAACCTATAATATATATAATGATAGATTTTTATAGACTTTTGTTAATTTATTTCTTATTAATTGTATATTTCACATGTACGATCCAATAAAATTCTTATTAAGAAGTTTTTGCAATAACGTGGATTCAGATACGGTGAACACTAAAGTCACATTATTCTTTTTTTAATTAGTTGTTAAGAAGATGATAACTTCACTTTAGCGTTCATCATCTGGTTCAGCATCTGGGTAAACGATATTGCAAAAACTATCTATTGTTTATATTGCATCGTATGAAATAAAGACATTGGCTACTTTTATACCGTGCGCTTAGTCCGCGACCTATACGATAGATGCCTTTGTTTAACTTACAGGATAAACAAGGACACCTATTGGTATAGGCCTAAATGCACGGTGTAAACGTAGCCATTGTTTCCATACTGATTTGTTACATATTGATTATTTCGAAGAATATTACTAAGGTCTCGGTGGTTTAAAGACTTAAGACGCTCGCATGGAATGCTAAAAATCCGGGTTCGACTCCCAGCCAAGGCCAAGGTACGTAATATTTTCGGGTAAAACTTCCTCTTTACACAGCCAGCCTCAAATGACCTCGAATGACCTTGATCTTTACACTCAAGAAGATCACTGATCTTTTCTATCGCTCGTTATTAAAAAGTTACAAAACAAAACAATTTTTATAAATAGCACACAATGTTTAAACACAAAATATATATTTCAGCAGTATTTCTTCTTGACAGAGGAAGATTGGGGGTCTTCGCTTCGCATGGAAAGTCGTGCGTTCTTTGACAGGGGGGAAAGTGGGGTGGACTTCGCTTCGCGTGGAAAGTCATTACGTAAACTAGGGAGGATATGGGATAGTTTATGGATGCCTTCCAAACGACACATTATAATGATCATTTCATCTTTGTTTAATTGGCGGACAACAAGGATGTAATGATGTATCGTGTTTTGTGTGTGTGTGTGTGTGTGTGTGTGTGTGTGTGTGTGTGTGTGTGTGTGTGTGCACGCGCGCGTATGTATTAGAAGGCATCTCTTAATATTATATTAACATCATGGTTAAATTAAAAAGGTTATCCATTGCGCATAGTAGCGGAGGACGTGTCACATGATCTGAGATCTCGAATCAGAAATTGAGCTCATTGCAGCGTGAACGAGTCATGTGAATGTCTGCAAATGAGCTCAAAACTTGATTGGCTGACAGATCCTCCCACTACTTCTAACCTACTGCGCACCCATGAAGGTAACCTTTCTAATTCAACCATGTATAACATTATGGCAGAAATAAGATATTTTTAAAATTTTTTTTTGTTAATTATAACTTTTTAACGAATAACAAGCCTAAAAGGTTTCAAGGTCATGACCTTGTCAACATATCAAAGTCAAGGTCATCGAAGGAGCATCCCCTAAAGTAAATATTTACCAATGCCAGATGATTTTTTGACTTAGTTTTTATTTAGTCCGCTCTACTTGCCCATGAACATCGTCAGAAGAATTACTAGACATCCTGTATATATACAAGCTTATTACTACTATTTACTATTATTTCAAAAATTAGAATATATATGTATATAATTATAAATCTATACTTTTTTTTACATTTAAAGCTTTCTTTCTACGACAAAGTAAGTGTAAGTCGAGAAAGAGAAATTGTCACCGAGGGGATGGCAAATGCCCTTTTTTGTCTCCCCTTTTGGACGTCCATGCACACAGATATAGATGAGACGAGAGACCATCAAACCAGACGAGACAAGACGTGCGCGATATCTCGATTGGTTGAAGGCATTAGGCTGTTGTAATTCCGAATATAAACGCAGTCAGGTAAAGGTCCAAGCGATGATTCACGCGAATGCAACGCGTGTTGCTGCGTTTGTTGCATAAGCTATAAGCAGGCTCACGTACACACGCGGTAGTTTCCTGCGAGGCATATCGTTCCTCAACCGATGGTTACGCGGCCTTGATGTGCGCTTGTTCGAGCGCACATGTTTATGGCTACTGCCCATCTTAGGAAGGCAACGGACGATCTTGTAAAAAACTAGGTATGCCGAGCGTGCAACAAACAGTCTAATTTCTTTTTTTACTCAGGCGATGTTATCCGACGAATCCGCTGGAGATCGTACGATCTCGCTAATTAAACTTTTCGCCCTCTCGCAAACAAGAATAGAATCCCAATGAGAAATACAAATTCGTGTTCCGCCTCCTTTCAGAATGGTAAGATTCTTGCATAAAACAACAGATTCACTACACAAAACAAAAATGAATAATCTTGGGATTACTCCTTTTGTTGCAATATATAGCCAATATATTGATGAAGTTAATTTTATTTGAAAATTTTTTACAAGAGCAAAGGAGCTTATAATGTTTCTCATTCAAATTATCTCAATTAAATTTTGTTTTAAAAAATTAAGAAAAATTTATTGTTTTAGTTAACAAAATATATAATATAGCAGAAATATATGAAGAAATGCAATTTTTATTTATTTAAAAAAGTAGAATACGCTTGACTGGCTTTACAACTGAAGAAAGAATTTTAGCTTATTTTGGAATAAAGTGTTTGCCATTTTTTATTAAATATGATGATGAATATAATTGCATTTGTGTAACAGTGAAGATTTGAGAAACATGTTGCAACTCTAGACCTATTTTTTTCTTTCTAGATATTATAAGATTTATAATTATTTCAGCATTTTTAAAACAATCCTAATTAAGGAGCTAAGGAATTCAATATCTAATTTATTTATAATTTTGGATAAAACTACTTTTACATATGAACAATCAACATTCTGTTTAGGCCTGTCTAGGACATCCCATTAATCACTACGAATACTGAAGATCTAGCTATATCACATTACGTACTACTCGTATAAAGTTTCAGTACTCGCAGTGTATAACAGAACGCAGCCTCTTTAAAATTTTTGTAACTATTTAAAATAAATCTTGCTTTATAAAAAGAGTAAAATCTTTTATATTAAAGATTGAAAATTCAGTCATTCTTTTTCAAAGCTAGTTCAATTTTCATTCTTTAGACTAAGATTCCGCTTTAAATAATTTAAAGAGTATATAAATCGCAATACGCAAAACGCAGTCGCAACTACTGATGGGTATTATTTCGTTAAGTATTACTGTAATCGTTATTGAGAAATAACTTTAATAATCATTATCAAATGGAAAATAACGGTTAACGGACTAAACGGTTATTTTTATCAAGTCTTAAATGAGAATAGAAATTTTCAAAGCTATCACTTGGGGATCATTTTATTTCTATGTCTTCGCGTGTATTTTTCTTCGTAGAAATCGAAAATAATTATTATAATGACGCCAGACTTAAGGAAAAATTGATACATCGAAATAAAATGAACAAAATCTTTACTCACATCATTATAAAATCACTATCAGTTATGTTTCAATAATTTATTTATGAAATTAATTTCAAATTGGATCAAATACGAATAATATTGCACCACAAAACGTTAATTAGATTACATTTTTCATTATAATGTCATTTCGGTACCAACGTTTGGAGTGGGGGAAACGGTAAAAAAATGACAAATGTTATAATGAAATATATAATCTAAAGAACACGTTTTGTGATGCAATATTATTCGCATTTGGTCTAATTTGAAATTAATTTCATAAATAATTTATTGGAATATAATTAATAGTGATTTAATAACGATGCGAATAAGAATTTTATTCATTTTATTTCGATGTACTAATTTTTCCTTAAGTATGGCATTATTATAATAATTTCGGTTTTTTTTTATTTTCGGTTTCTACGAAGAAAAATACATAAGAAAACATATAAATAAAATGATCCCCAATCAATATAGCACAGGAAAATTAAATTTTTTTTGCGTTTCGGAAACGCAAAAATGCCATGAAAGATTTGTTTGCGGGAAGTTGTTCGAAATAACAATACATATAATATTATGCAACATACCAAAATAGTAAAAGTTTTTTTAAATCCCCCGCCAGCGGACTTGAAAAATTTTCAGTTTCAAAAACTAATAAAGTGTTGTTTTTTAAAAATATCTCAAAAAGTATTTGTTTTATTGAAATAAAGATCATTATCAAAAAGAAAGCTAATAAAATTATGAACAACAGACCAGTCTGTCTGCTGGCAGTCAGGACTTTTAACATGTTATATACACTTTCGAATAATTTTCCACAAACAAATCTTTTATAGCAATTTTGCTTCCAAAAAATCTAATTTTGCTGGGCTAGTAGCGAAACCCTCGAAAATTTCTACCCTTCTTTTATAAGTAAGTAAAAAGTAAATAGTAAGTTTAAGATTTTACTATGTATCTTTTTTTTGCAGTAGAAGCACTGTCGGCGGTGTTGTTGCATTACTAGTGTGTGTATAGTGATTTCAAACTCTAATATTCTTTTCATTTTTAAAAGTTTTATTATCCTTTTCGTTTTTCTAATTACTTTTTATTTGTGATTAGGGTAATATAATATTATTAAATATTATTTACTATTATAGTTATAAAATATAACAGATAGCTGTTTAAATAACCAATTAAAGTAACAGTAATTGTTATAACCGTTTACAAAAAATAATCGTTTAGCCCATTAAAATGCTTGTCATAACAGTCAATTAGAAACAGTATCATTGACGCCGATTGATTGTTATGATAAGTGTTTCGAATGCGTTTTGCAGCTTATCTACGGGTCTTTAGATCAGTGAACCTGCAACAACCGCCCCTGGACCTCATGCAACACACCTATAAATTTTTTATGATCCTTGACAGTTGGCTCATGGAAAATAATATCCGAAGAAATATAATCATATTTTCTATTTTATGCAAACAAAATAAACATTGTGACTCATAAGATTTTATCTATTTCTAAAAATGATCTTTAAATAAGGTACATATCATTGTCTTATAATGTTTTCCAATAAAAAAACATAATATTACACAGTGATTATTTCTTTTTATTTAATAGTGTCAAACAACAAGATGATGATTCACTGTGTGAATAACTAATAATTGTGCTACACTGTGTCGTTTATGTTTTTTACTGGAAAGCATCCTTAGATAGATGAAACTTTTCTTGAAAAATTCGCGCTTCCCGCGAAGGATATCCGGAGAAAAAAAGATTGGCGGGAAAGAGAAACTTGTAGCCATTCTTCGGGCAGATATATGGCATTCAGTACATTAGCGGCGACTTGACAATAACTGCTAATTGTAGGCAACGTAAGAAGGCGCAATCGACCTTCACTTGTATATACGTGAGCGTATAAACACTGCTGTCATATGTGTAAGTAAAATGACACTCACGGCGATCGCAGAATGCCATATTGGGCATCGTTGACCTCGTCTCTTCTCGCCTCCTCTTTTCTCTTCTCCTTGTCTCTCTCTTTCTCTCATAGTTCGTTCTGTCTCTCTGAGACACACACCATTACACTCCTCCCCTCCCACGCCTTTCACTCACAAAAAAGGTTTCAGCTGTCGCCAGTGTCGTTCCTTGGCTACGTCACGCCGAGAGAAGCATGATCGACGCGATCTTGATTCGATTTATCCCGCGATCCTAGAGTGAATGGATCCAGCGCGACAAGGCAGATTTTGCAGTTTTAAACAGAGAAGAAGAGATTATCCATAGATTATGGAGTAAGAACAAACTTTCCAAAAAATTGTTTAGAAAATTGGTCTCTTTATTCTTCGGTCAGGTTTTACAAAAGGAAAGTCGGATGACGACATTCTTTTGCATTATAAATCAATAAGAACCGAGTAGAATGGAAATAACTAAAAGATTGTTAAATCAAACAAAAGATGATTAACATTTTAAAATTCTTTTTTTCGATTATTCATGCCTTATATTGTACATTCCGCGCCAAATACAGGGTGGGCCATCTATTGGTACGTTTTTAAAAATGCGATCAAATGAGCATACATTGATATTTTTTATTAATTTTTTTTTTGTTGTGAAGCTAAAAGTATCCGCGTCAAGAATGAAAAACGATTTCGTTCATGTGGCTCCCTCTACTGGCCTTACAGTATGCCATTCGGTCACCCCAATTATTAATGACATTTTGGACTACCTCGGCGCCAATTTCACTCAAAACAGTCGTAATATAATGTCATCCACTAACATCCCTTTCTCACGAACTTTCCTCACCAATTTGCGTATAGCTCCTTCGGTGGGTGCTCTATCACGACCCATATTTCTTTTCAAAATTCGTACAGTTTCGGCGACACAGCACTGACTTTGAAAATAAGTTTTTAAAATTTCAAAACGCTCTTCAAGAGAAAACATGTTGTTTCGTGCCGCGGACGGTATGACTAATAAACTGTCAAAATTTCGGGTCTGTAGCTCGTTCGGTGTTGCCATACGACGAAATTCAAAAACGTACCAATAGATGGCCCACCCTGTACTATAAACTCTTAGTAAGTCAAACAATCGCAAGTACATGATAAAAATAAAAACTTACCTATAGAGTTTGATTTGGATCGTTTGGATTTAATTGGAATAGTTTACAGATTTTGAATAGAGAGAGGAATTACAATAAAAGACAAACGTTTAAAATGCTACATATAAAACGAATAAAATAAGTTTAAACTTTCAAATAAACACGGAATTTTTAGACCATGCCTATATGTCAGCTATTAATACTATTTACAAATTTTTTCGTTTATGATAATACATTTGACTTTAGTCTTTGAGTTATATTGATATCAGTGGAGATACACATTATTTGTCTCTTTATAACGGAAACGTTCACATATTGTTCAAGTATCTCTGCTATTATCTGACGAAAAGTTTATTTGGATTAAATTTCATACCTTATTTAATTATTTATTATATTTATTTGTCACAATTTTTTATTTGATTGACTGGATAATATATAAATATGCGAGTTGCATCAATTTGGTAAGTGACTATCTGCTTTTTCGTTAAAAATATGATGTCGTTTTTTACCTTAATTTTATTATAGCTTTACTTTATGATAGTTTTCCTATTTCCTTCTGGCCAATAAACTAGGATGAATCTAAAGAATCTTTTTGGTAGATGGTATGGTGGATGGTTAGCATCAAGATTATTGCACTATTTGTAGATCAAGTTAATACGTTCAATTTCCGTTGAAAATAATTTAAATCGAAACATGTACGGATATATATTAAAATACTGTTTTATCAGAAATGGACTTTTAAACTTTTTATTATTACACTTGCACATAAAGTACTGCACTGACTCTCACTTTCAATCTCGAATTATGGACAAAAATGGATTTGAGGCTCTCGAACCTGTTTTGAATTGAAAGAATAGCAATTATAATATTATATCTCATAAGATCGTATATGTGAGAAATACCTGTAGAAATCAATGCCTTAAACGGTCTAGCTGGATCTTAAGTGCTTGTATGTGTGAATTTATATACTACATATGTAATCCTTTAAAATGCGCGACGAAATGATTTTTCGATCTTGAAACGTAAACTCTACTAAACTACCGCAGTAATATCACGCACCAGCAATTTAATGATGCTTTTTCGCATCTTAAAACGATCTTAATCATGCTGAGTGACATATTAAAATCTGTAAATAATTAGTTCTTATTGTGAAAAATATTATTTCGGCCGGGAGTCGAACCTAAATCTTTTGCATTCCGCGCGAGCATCCTAAGTCTTTAGAGTACCGAGGAAAGTAAGACGATTAATAAATCAATATTTGGGAAATATTTTAGATAGTTGTAAAAAGGCAAATTATAGAGTTTTTGAAAAACAATTTTATAACAAAACACTAATTGAGTTTTAGAAGACAGTACTCGTGCGAGACAGCGATCTAAACCATTATAGACGAGTGGAAAAATAGTGAAAGAAAAATGATAGGGATAATTTTTATGGATCTTAAACGAGCAAAGATTATTAGGAAAATTATATCAGTATGG